TCACAACATGTTTTCTCATATTAATACTTACCTCTTGAGCTTCATTCTCATCTCCTGTGCAAAACCATCAACCTGTATCTTAAGTATTAAATGTAACTGTTGATCCCCTCGCAACAGGTAGATCTAGAATGAAAACATTTGCATATTAGCATTTTTTAATGGAGAGAGAAATTTAAAAAATACCATGAACTTAATATATACTACAAATAAATTAAGTAGTCACTACAGACATTTTTAACATACTACATTGTCTGTAAAGAGTAGGTAAAGCAAACTCACACAGAAGTTGCATGTATGGTTATTATGTAAAAAATAGAAAAAGTTTACTTTTACTGTTAATTACCTACTTCTTAATATTCCTTCACAATGTGGAGAAGTTGTTATCATCTTTATAAGACAACTTAGATGGAAAAGTTCAAGATGAAAGTATGTTTTGTACTTAATTATTCTTTTTAAGACTTTTAAATACTAACTTATAGTACAAATCCACAATATTGCATATTTTCAAAGTTAACAATGATTAAAGAAGAAAGTTATTTTAAGATTTCAGTGACATACAACTACATTTCAAAACTTGCTGAAACATGTTTCTACTGTGGATAAATACATTTTGTGTTCATGTAATTTAAAAAAAAATAGACACTTAACTTTAACAAAATAAAGATTTGGAAAGAGATAAGTTTTATAAAACTTTTTTTTTATAGATATCATAGATATATTTTGGTTAGAATTTTTATTAGTCTTAATTTTAGAATGAGGAAATGCAAAAACAAACAAACAATAAATGGTTTTATAATTAACTTAATCAATTACACTTTTTACTTAAACAATATATGAACTGTTAATCCACTTAAAGTTACAAATCTTTCCATACCACCTTCTGATAAGACACACAACAAATTCATGATGCATTAATGATGATAGAAAGAAGTATACCAATGCAGTACTTGGGTGGCTACGTTTCGATCAAATAATTAAATTTCTGATGCAAAATATGTTACAAAATCACGACTTTAAAGATACGTTTCAAACACTTGCTTATTTAAGATAAAGAAAATTCTTTGTTTTTACATTGTAAGTGCAACTTATGCAATTTCTTTTTACAAATAAAATATTTTGGTATTATATCCTTCTCAGATGGACAAGCATTTTAAAGATGTTTGTTTGGAATTAAGCAGAAAGCTACCCAATGGGCTGTCTGTGTTCTGCCCACCAAGTGTATCGAAACCCAGTTACTAGCATTGTATGTTCACAGACATACCACTGTGCCACTGGGGGGCAAATATATATATAATTTGAGGGGTTAACTGAAATCCCACCTAAGGTGAATTAATCTTGCGGTTTCCTCCGTTCACCAAACTTCACTATGTAGTGTTAGAATCACTATAACTGTAAATAAATGTTTATAAAAGTAACAAGTAAATTTAAATATTAATTTTCACAATATGCAGTATATATCCTCACATAAGTTTTAATCTATACAATATGCATTGATCAATCATCTGTCTAATTTTTGTGTCTCCAAAACTTGCATATTTTTAAGATTAGCTTGAACTAAGTAATGCAATACTTACCAAAACTTTAGTAATGCTGTTTAAATTATCATGATCGTATGCTATTACATCAAAATCAAAATGTCCTTTCATGTTACTTTTAGGGTGAAAGTTAAGGATTACTTCTCCAGTAGTCTTGTTCACATAAAATGGAGCCTTGATTTCTTCAATGTTTTCAGCATTATTCATTTTGAAATCACTATTCAGCTCGTAAAAAACCACAGCATTTTCTCCTTCATCAGGATCATCAGCCTATGGAAAGTTCAATATAATTCTTTGTTTATACACCTGTCTTTAGGGTAAATAATAATAAAAAAAATGATTTAATTCTATAAATTAAATTTTAAAAATACTTTGCAACATTCCCTTCATTGTTCGCCATAATAAATTATTTCACAGTATGAATTATGGACATGATAAAATAATTCCTGAAAATTTTCAACATTCAATATTTCAACCCACATTTCTAATATTCATTTGATGAAGATGGCTGTTCAATGATCTTTCTTTCAAATAACCTTCATTACATCTGAACAAATGTTTTACACTTGCATGTTATATTTATTTTAGATAACCAATCATCTCATAATTAAAAAGATTCATTTATTGCATTTGTACATAGTAACAGAATTATTCTTTATATTTCAAACTTTTATCATCACCTAAACCAACATGAAAGACATAGGTGTTAATATAAGACATCAAAGAAACAGCTTTTTAAACCCCCTTTCATGGATAAATACTTTAAAAGGATGTTTGAAAATCTATAAACTACTATTCAAAGCCATTTTCCACATATACTGCTCTAGTGGATGATAATCTCTACCATAAACTTAACTGGGCTGATAAGAGCTGACAATGAAACTGCAGATCTCTGCTGGTTATGATACAGCTTTGTTGCCTAAAAAGAACTTGTCCATTTTTTATCTTACAAAATTTAAGCACTGTGAGAAATGATGTGCATTAGAGAAGAAATAAAAAATATATTAAACTAGGTAAATAAATAAAATAAACCTACCAAATAGGTAGCTAAAAGTATTGTAAAAAAACAACAGCAGCTATTTCATTATGCATTTAAGAATTTATTATGATAAGTCTGTTAAACGTTTAACTACAAGTGTCAGATTTTAACCACTAAAATAACTAACTAGAGATACTAGAATTTTACATTTCTAATAACACAATGAATATGGACATACCATTGGGCCACTGGGGGGGGTCGGGGGTTCCATTAACTTTCACATAAATAACAAATATAAAAACATACATACTTTAATGATTCAAATATAAAACAACAAGTAACGTAATTAAAAAATTACCTTAAACCAAGTTACTAGAAAGTGCTTGAACTTAGCTTTTCATATAATATACAAAAGATATATGAAGATAATCAAACTTTATTTGAACTTTTTTGCATGTCACTGCAGATGCAGTCTGTGGCAAGATATTTAAATATATATTTGGTTCATAGTGAATTCCAGGCTATTCATAAACACAATGCCATCATAGGTATACATAAAGCTGGAGAAATATATAGTTTTTCCAAATGGAAATATTCATAGAGGAAGATTATATTTGTTTGTTTGTTTCAGAGCAAATCCATTGGGCTATCTGGTTTTTCCACCATTGGCAATCAAACTCTGGATTTAGCATTCTAAGTCCTTAAAGTTACTGCTGTACCACCAAGGACAAAAAGAAAGGATTATAATAAATAATGTAGAGTGAAAAGGTGATATTCTGAACAAAAATGATGCCTTCAATATTCTTCATTAAAGTGGGAAAACCTGTGCAACAGAGTATTTAAGATAAGAACAACCTCCAACATTACACTTCACTCCAATATATAACAAGTTTCACTTGAAAAAAAAAAGGACTATTTTTTAAAAAAAAACCTTCCAAATCAAAAAGATATGGAAATGAAAGGAGACAGATTTCCTGTTACCTCTAACAAGAGATAATAACAAAAATTTGAAATGATGGAAGTTCAGAAGTTAATATTTATAAGATTCTAGCCACACCTCTATATCAAAGACAGTTTTTCTTTCATACGAAGGATAGGTGCAAAAAACACAAATCATGACAATTTCCTTCGACTCATTACGTGACAAGTCCCCAATGCAACTACTGTTTTCTGTGCCTTTGGTTTTAGAAGCCAATGTCGATGTGCAGTAGGAGATCTGTAAAAGTCTGTAATGAAGAAACGTGGAATAAGACTTAGCCTTGCTATCCTTTGCTGTAGAGACTTGTGGCAATGAAAACTGCAGAACAGTGCATAACCATAGCCTATATCAGAACTGGGGAAGGGGTATGCACTGCACTAAGGCCTACAACCACAAGGCCCATCCTAAAACTTTCAGTATTCCTATTTTATGTGTATTATACAATTACATCTTTGAACAATTCTGTGTCTAATTTGTTTTCTCTCTCTCTCTCTATATATATATATAGTGTCCTTTTTATGTTTCCTGTAAAACTATAAAATTTAACTATGCAAACACATTACAACAATTAGACTTTCTATATAAACTGAAATCTAGACTTCAAAATATATTACTACATGAATTTGACTTTGAATTTATTTCAGGTATTTGGATATCTTAAAGAAGTTGTAATAAATACAAGAAGAAAAAAAAAAGTCTTAAAACATACATTAAACTAGGTTTTCTTTAAAAAAGCTCAGAACAAAGGTATTAAAAGTTTTACAATAATATCTTTCAAAAATCCATCTTCATCACTATTAGGAAACCATAATTTAATTTAAAAATTGTTTGCAATAGTATAAAAAAGAAATTAAATGACATACCGAAACACGCACCACCATCTTTTCATATTTGTCTGTAACCTTGACCCCACCTGTAAATCTTGGATCTGTGAACTTGGGAGGATTGTCATTAATGTCAATGACATTTACTGTAATTTTTACTGTTGTTAAATCCAATAAATTAAACTCAGATACTTTTCCAGGTTCACGATCACAGTTTTCTTGTGCTTTCACCACCACATTATGATAAGGTATGGTTTCTCGGTCCAGCTTCTTTTTTAGTGTTAATTCTCTTGTCATTTTATTCAGTTTAAAATACTCTTCGTCACCACCTATAGAATAATGTTTTGAAGATTTTAAATAATTATTTAAGGATTGCTACAAATTTTTCAAACATTTAGTACATACAAGATTTTAGTAAAGTTTACTTCATATTGGTTGAATTAAGGTGACAAGGAAATCCATAAAACATGAAGAACAAATAAATCCTTTTTCATTACTTCCAATCTAGGGATAAACAGGAAAGGTCCATATTTGGATATTTTTACTAATCCATAAAAGTTTGCATATTAGAAATACTATACAGTTAACAAATGACAGAACAAAATTTTGTCAATTCACAATGTATGTATTTTTATAAATTTACAAAATATTAAATATATCTAAAATAATTTACAGTAGCTTAGGACACAACTAAAGTAATGGAAGCTATAAAATAATTTCAATACATAGTATTACTGTAATCCAGCATTTCACAAACTTTTGTCATCCCCCACCTAGATAAATATGGTTTCTTGCACACACCCCTCCTTTTTTAAATGAGTGGTGGAGTTAGTTAAGTGATGAAATATTAGGTCATCAAGAAATTAAAGTTGCTTTTTTTTAAGATGAAAAACCCTGAACAACCTATATAACAAAACATTTTTTAAATGAAATAGTCCCCATTCTTATCAATGATGCTTTTACATCTTACAATCAGGTTGTTAATGCCCTTATTAAAGAAATCACTTGGCTTTGAAGCAAAAAACATTTCGATGTCTTCTTTAACACTTTCCGCATTTGCATACGTTTTCCCATTAAGATGGTGTTCAGCAAATGAAAAAGATAGTAATCTGATGGTGCCATATCTGGAGAATATGGCAGGTGGTGGGAAAACTTCCCAACCCTACTCTATAATCTTGTGTTGTGTCAAACGTGCCACATGTGGATGTGGATTGTCGTGGAGAAGAAGAACATCTTTCTGATTGATGAGTGAAGGGCTTGATTTAAACATTCGAGTTGCTGACTATAGATCTCGGCATTTACAGTTCACTGTGGATTGAGGAGTTTCATCACAGGTGACAATTCTGTCCAAAAATGTTCCATAAGCATTACGGAGCAGAAGAGACGATTCAATGTTCACATGTTGGAAACGATGATCATCAGAGAGTTCATGAGGTACCCAAAAACCTTCTTTATGGAGTTTTCCCATATTCCTT